AGGCCATGAAGTCTTTTTATATTAATAAGAAAGTTAATCATTTTAACATAAATATAAAAGAGTCCAAATACTGTATGGAATTCTTGATTCAAACCACATTATAGCTTCCTTTTCTATTTATTCCCACCTTCTTGGTTAGTTGGTCTTGTAGTTCTCAGAGCAAGAGTCCGAGTGGGGTGTGGGTGGGTAGATGTATTTGCCTCTGAAAGATGCATTTTCTACTCCTTAACTAGAATCAGGGAGGAGATTTAAACTTCTATTAAAGAAAGTTCTATAGGCATTTTCCTTTTGTACAGTTTACTGCCTCTGATAATCTGCTGGAAGATCAGCTAGGAATTGAATTCGAGTACTTTTAATTTTTCCTACAATATAAATATCATTGTTATTTCGAAATGTAAACCCAAATTTTTGCTCTCATCTTCAAGGATTGATTTAATTACTGAAACTCTGCCTTACAGCTACAGGTGGACTTCCACATTTACAAAACAAAACAAACTTGCTTTCTTTTAGGTGTTTTCACTGCTATTATGATATCATGTAATTTCTTTTCTCCTGGCCTTTTTTACTTCAGGAAAGGAGTAATGTACTTGCTGTAAGAAAATTATTCTGAGTAGTCCTTTGAGTTATAAAAGAATGCCCTAGTCAACAGTGGACTCTTCAGAATAAAAAATAAATCCCCTTTGAGACCTGGCTTAGCCACCAGGCTTATCAAGTGACTTCTTTCAGCCTTTGTTTTTCACCTGTTGGTTGAGGTGATAATCGTTTTCGGTGACTGAATTTGACACATGGTTGAGCCCAGCATATGTAAGCCATTATCTTGGGAAGAAGAGAATTTCTATAGAGAAATCATGTTTTGAATGTTGGTGTTGCCTTTCTAAGAATTTTTACATGGACCCTATGAATATTCTGTCAGTACTAAAACAACTTTTGGAATTGCCTTCAAAGCACTTCATATTACTTAAGAAAAAGAAGTCTTTTGAGTTTATAGTCACACCTCGCTATTAAGGAAGGGACTTTTTTTTTTTAATTGTTCCATTGTAAGGTGCTTTGGTGACAAGGAGAAAAAAGAAAAACAGAGATATTTAGTGAGTAAGACAATACAGCAAAAAAAATTAGTGCTGATTGCTCTTTATTTCTACTTATATGTTGTTGTTGTGTGTCAAGTCAGAACCAGCTCAGAGCTCACCCTCCAGTGAGTTTTCAGAGGCAGTAATTAGCACTAAAATTGCACTAGAGGAGATGGCCCACCTGTCTCCTGTGGAGTAGCTGGGATTGTAGCACAGCTACAGTCATTTATTTGTCAACTTTTGAGATAATCCTATTTAATGTGATAGCCATTCAGTAAGGGGGTAAATTTGCTGTCTGTGCAGTAAACTTTATTGTTTCTCCTGCTCACATCTCTCTCCTGTAAGATCTGGTTGTGGAATAAAAAGCTGAACATGTTTTCCATAACAAGCTGCATGATACATGCAGATATTTATACCTTGAAAACAACTGTTCTATACCTCTTTCTTAGATTCTTAATTTCTTTTAGGATTCACCTTGCCTGTTATTGGGCCCTTTGGACTAGAAGTTGCCCAACCGTTTTCTGTCCTTAGAGAAACCTAGACTGCACTTGAATGTCAAAGTTTCCCAGCATAAAAATTAATTTTTCAAAATAAAAATCTGCAGCCCTACAGAAAAAAAATGTAGACCATCTAGAGTTACATATTTTAAAACTTTAATTTGAGCCCAGCTTTTTAAAAAAGCAAATGTACTTAAAGGGGGAATATAAATTGTTGACATTTCTGTCCAAGCATATTTCATTGATGCTTTTCTCCTGAATTGTGAGTTCACAATTCACTGTTAGATTTTAACTGTTCACTTAGAAATGTGAATAATAAAGGGAATATCCTGCCTACTCTGAGAAGATGCTACTCCTTTGAAATTAATGTTATTTTAATTTTAACACTTGAAACATTATTCAGTCACATTTGCTCCTCTTTGATCTTCCTTTCTTTTTAATAATGCTAGTGTGTGGGATTCAGATGAAGGTAATTTAAAAACCAGTTTTATATGCACATAGGCAGACCCAGCCTCTAATTATGCAAATTTACTTAAAAGGATTTTCATTTACAGTAATGGAAAAGCTTTTACTGTTTGGGGGGAAAGCCTTATCTTTGGGGGACTTTTAGGCATCTAGTAAGTTTTTAATTCCATCTGATGTTCTGTGTAACAAAAGTCAGGTATGTTCTTAATGTAGATATTTTGGATTTTGGATTGGGAACAAATTTTAGTTGACTATCTTTTTGTTGCCACTTATATTGTGTATTAACGGAAACTTCTCAGATTTTGCTTTACTTACTGCTGATAATTCTTTTGTGTTTTGTTTTTTTTTTCTCCTTGGGCTTGCCTTAGCTTGGCCATTGTGTAAGTACTTTGCCTACACATTTCAGCTTTTTAATTGATGAATCCTAAATTGGGATATATTGGCATATTTGATTACTTTTTAAGAATTGACAAATGTCTGAGTCTTCTGTGTATGTGCAACAAATTTATCAATCAAGAGCATATATAAAATGAAATTGAACGTTTACATGTCACCTCTGTTTTCCGTTTTCAAAAAATCAGGTATGCTTGCTTTACAATGGTAGAAAGTAGGGCTTTTCTTCTAGAAATTATTTTCCTCAACAGAGAAGTCAAAGCCAGCAAGTAATGAAATTTTAAAACTTCATGTACTTATTTTTATTTTCTCAAAAGCCTTTCCCTTTCCTGCTCTGAAAACTAAGTCATAATTTTCTGTAGTTTTTGTTCAAGTTATTTCTTAACTGTAATTGTGGCATAATCTACACATGCCATCATCTCTTGAAGAATTAACAGGCTGTGATGTGACCTGGAGCAGGGTTTCTCAGCTATTAGGTGAAGAACTAATTTTTTTTTCCAATTGCTTATTTCAATTTCCAAACCATTTTAAGTCAGCAGTTTTCTAAAATACAATGTAAATGAGTGACTAGGAAGAAAATTCAAAGACATGGAAAATACAAGCCTCTGATTTTTATTATTATATCCATCAGACCTAAAATGATTCTACAGTAGAAGAAGACTTTCAGCAAGATGGATCAACAAAGTGACCCTCTCACTGGGCTTAAGCATATTAGTCATGAGGAGAATGGCACAGGATAGGGCAAGGTTCAGATGCATTATTCATAGAATCGCTGTGAGTCAGAGTTGATTTGGCAACAGCAAACAACAAAAATATCAACAAAGTTCTTAAAATTCTTCCAGTCAATTTTTGTGTTTATTTCCTCTCAAAGTGGTTTCAGGATATTTGCAGGCAAGCACCAGCCTGTGAAGTACACTTTGCAGGGTCTGCCCTGCACTTGGCAAGGTCTAGGTACAAAGTAATGGACTGAGTTTGTGGGGTGTTTGGCTCAGTGGAAGGCTCATGAGAAAACAGCAGAATGCACTGAAGTTAGCCTGGTTCTCACTCATGGCAGAAGCTCCATGCAGCTTACAGCCTTAGCTTAGAGACCCTTCAGCTGTGAACTTGTTCTTGGTTGCCCTCAACAAGGTAGAACAGCCGCACTGGGCTTACCTTAGCACCTCAGAATAATCCATTGCCCTCCTGAAAAGTAGGAAAGGCCAAACTTGAATCACAGTGATTAGAATACACCTGAATAAAGAAAGGACAATTCTGAAAGTCTGTGTAAAATTCCATTTAACATACAAGTTACCAGAGAAGTTGACAGATCAAGGCTTAGGGTCCCATTAAAATATTCCCTCTGAAACAGTGAAATAAAGATTCTCCAAAAACATACATCAAGCCAAGTAGGAAGTAGCACTTTGTTTTATACATTTAAAATAAATTTAAGAGATTTATGTAAATTTTTGTTTTCCTGAAGATAAGCTCCTCCATAATTAATTGGCACAGTTGGGTTTCTAATAAGTGACACTTTTCCTTTATTAGATAGTAGGCTTACTCTCTGGCTCAACTTTCAATAGATTAGCCAGTAAGGTGGACACCAGGGAGGCACTTACTCCTTAGAACAATATTAAATCCAAAGAGCCATGTATGCTCATAGATAAAGCTGAGAAAGCAGGAAGGGACATGACAGAAGCACAAATAGAAATGGGAAACTCAGCAGACCTAAAAAAGAAGTGAGGATTACAGTCACTATCATAAAATAAAATGCATATGAATTATTGAATGGAAAACCAATTTGCTTTGTAAACTTTTACCCAAGCCATGCACACATACACACAATTTAGTAAACTGATGGAAATCTCCTTACCTGCAGGGGGAATAGAATAATCTTTACTCATCTCTGTAGTATTTACATATTTGCTTTAGATTTCACAGGAGAAGATAAAAGGTATTGATTTTATAGGTTACCTTTGTCTTTGGAATAAGGCAATAAGAAGAGAATAATAATATGCTCTTAATTTTGGTAAATAATAATAGTAATAATAATATTTTAGACATATTCAACATTATTTTCTTCTGTTCCTTGAGTTTATATGAATCTTTTGCGTAGCTTCTTGCTACTGTTGATATTCATAATAAGTGTTATTGATTGATGTATGGCTTAAGAGATGGAAAGTCATACCTTCATATCCCCAAAGATTAATAAAACAGAGTTTCAAGTGTACAAAGGGAGTCATTAGATTTCCAAAAGTCAGAAATTAAGAAAGTTCTTAGGAATTGACAACCAGCGTCCTGTCAGTGATAGACATGGACAGTCTCTGCTTTCTTGCTCTATTTCTTTTACAAACAATTCCTGCATTTAATAATGGGTAATGTGGGATGGGAAAGAGTTTCACTGACTAGTGAGTGATTGATTCTTTGCAATTGGTAATATCTTTTTAAAAAAAAAAACAAAAACAAAAAAACAAACAACAAACCCTATATAAGTTTTCACTTTTTCTTGGGTACTAAAGAAACTTTTGAGACTCCCAACTTTTTTACTTTTGTTACACCTGCAGCAGGTGACAACTTGATCTTGTTTGATCTGTTTTTCTAGCTGAGATCAGGAGGTGCACAGGTCTTAGAAGGCTGCATTGCTGAAATCCACAACATCACCAGCTTGGATATCTCTGACAATGGTAAGTCTGAAATCAGAAAGAAAAGAAATGGGAATAGTATTTGAAGTACGTTAGTAAAGAGTGAAAATAATCTTTTAGCCCTAAGGAGCCAACTAATTGACAGAAACCTGCAATCAATTCTTGACTAATAGGACTTTTAATTTAACAGCAGTTTATTTATGCAATAAATGTGCTAAGTTCTTATTAACTGGCGTTTGTGGCCAATTATGCAGGACCTATATAGCAAAATAGGAGTACTTGACAGCCAAGTGAAGAGCTTTACTGCTAAGGAAATGGTGTCAAGTGCAGGTCCACTCAGAATCACCTAAGGAAAAAAACCTGCTAATCTTTCAACAAGATGCCATTAAAAACCATCTAGAGTGGAGGTCTACTGAAATGTGTGTGGTTTCCAGGATTGCGATCAACCTCACAACAACTGATTATGACGTAAAATAATTCAGTCCTCCCCCAAAAAAATCATTAATGTGTTGAAAAATTAAATATCTAAGTCCAACCTCTTTCACTCTTTGTAGTAATCAAGTCCTGTCTTTATTTATGCTGAAGCTTATTTATTTCATTAGCTTCATTTCTGCTGGTGGTAATAGCATGCTAGCATGAACTTTACATTTGCACAGACAACTTTTTAACTAGGCAGCTGACTATGAGTGGTGAGTTTGAATCTTCTTTCAGAATGAAGAGTAGAAAATGAAGCTTTCCACCTCTCTCCCTTCCGATTTCGTAGGGACTTTATTTTGCCACTAATTGTGTAAGAGATTGAGGTAGATCTCTTAGAGACTGGGTTTCTTTCTTAGTAATAGAAAATGAAAAGAGAATAGAAAAGTTCTTTTCATAAATATAAAAGCTAGGAATCCCTAGGTTCCCCATGATAATACAGTTATCCAGTTGCATTTAACCTTTGCTTAAATGTGTCACAGCTGAGAATTTGTTTGCACACCTGAGTTTTTATTCTTTGTGTCATTCCTTACAGGTTTAGAATCTGATCTCTCTACCTTAATAGTGTGGCTCAGTAAAAACAGATCAATACAACACCTGGCATTAGGCAAAAATTTTAATAATATGAAATCCAAGTAAGACTTTTGCATTTTTCTTAATATGACAATGATGAAAATAACCAGCCTCCTGAAAGCTTTTGATTTGACTCCACTGTCCACATCTTTAAAATTTCTTTAGAAATCTGACTCCTGTATTGGATAACTTAGTACAGATGATTCAAGATGAAGAATCAGTGAGTATCATTTAAAATTTTTATTTTTATTATTATACTAGTTTATTTACAAAATTTGAATACATTGTTTTTCCAACCATATTTTTCCTATTTCCCTCACCCCCTAACCATCATTTAAGGCTTTTTTTTAGTAAATCATTTTTTCATTTAAGACTTTGGCTGAAAATATTTTGTTACCATTATTACTTATTTTCTTCAAGATAATGTTGATGTGCCTCCACATAATCTATGTATATTTAGGTATTATTACTTTTTAAGTAAAAAGGAACAAACAGCAATGTTTTAGTACATTTATAGAATTCATTTATAATTTACTTATTCTTCATTTTATCCCACTTATCTCCAATTAAAGGAAAATTGTACTTAATAGAAATAAGTGAAAATTTACTCCTAAGCTCATCTTTTAATGAACCTTACTATTTTCTAACTCTGGATAATTCTGTAATCTGCAGGCATGAATTTTTACAATTTAGTTAACTTTATGACCTTCTATCATGCTGAGAAACATCATTTTGCTAATTTGAATTTCATCTGGTAATTACGCAGAATTAAAAGAGGCTAAAAAAGTTCCTCATCTTAAAATATTTTTGTGCTCTGATAATCCTTTGTAATATTTTTACTCACTTAAATTGCTTCTGACCTAGACTTGGTTCAGGGTAAAGGCATTTCATTTCAGATTGCATCCTGTTTTGAAACTTCAAAATGCATTTGCCCTTGAAAATGTGGGATGCTACATTGAAAATATGTTATAATTTCTTCATTTGAACTCCTGGGATAATAGCAAATTCTATTACAATTGTTAGCAACCTTTCTTGGAAAGCTATCAAAAGAACTGAGAAGGATGGTAATTGGATTAAAAAAAAATTCCATATTTTCCCCCACGTTGTTTTTGGGGTTTCTGAAATGGAGTGCAAGGTCCCTGGGAGGTTAAGGAGGCAGAATTTATGCTTGGAGCTGTGGTGCCCTCGAGGTAGGAAGCTGAGCTGTAATCCCAAAGGTATAAGGTTTAAACCCACCAGCTGCTCCACAGGAGAAGAATGAGCAGTCTCCTTCCATGCAATTTACTGCCTCTGAAAACTCACTGGAATGTCAGTTATGAGTTGGTTCCAGATCGCCAACACACAAGAGCAACAATAACTACAATCAGTGGAGTGATTGATAGTTCAAAAGCACTCAGTGTTACCACAGAAGAGCGGCAGTCTGCTTCCATAAGGATGAGAACCAAGAAAATCCCATACTGCATTTCTATTATATAATTCATAGTTACCATGAGTTAGCATTGATGCAGTAATGAATCGTGTTTTGGAGTTTCATTTTTGGGTTTTTTCCCTACTCCTTTTTTGTCTTTGTTTCTGAAATGGAAGAGAAAATTCTGTGCTTATGTCGCTACATTTTATATACATAGTAATTTCCAGGAATTATTTTGAGTAATTATTTCATTAATTTAGGACCTTATCTTTGTTCTACTTTCTCATAAATGCCACATTTTATTACTCTTAAGCTGGATTGTTAGAATTGAAGGTATAATTAGAATGTAATTTATACCTTTTTTTTTCAGAATTTATGATGTTTGTTTTACTTATTAAATTTGACTCTATGCTGGTCTGTTTTGTTTGAGTTTCTGATCTCACAAGATTGGCTCAAGCTTGAAAAGATTGGAAAAGCTAATATCAAGGAATCTTATTTAATATTCAGATTCAGATACTTTTCTCGGTACATATTTTAGGAAAGTAGTTTTATTAATTTAGTGTTTAACTTACTACGTGAGGCTCTTCAAACTCTGTTTCTATGATTTTGAAAGTCGCCCACTTAAAAGATAATCTTGATATTTAAAACATGTCTAAAAACATATTTGGGGAAGATGAAGTTTGCTGTGTAAATGAGATTTCTGCTAAGTTCCAAGTTTTAATAGTGTGTTGCTAATAGTACTATGTCGTGAAAAGCTTTTTATATTCTTGTCGTTAAAAAATAAGTGACGATTTTTTTGAAAAGCAATTTTTTTCTCTCTCTCTACTTCTGAATCAGTAATGTAAAAAACAATTTAAAATGACTAGGTGTTAAGTCGTATAGTGACAAAAATTCTACCATTAACTGGCACAATTGGGTCAATTTTCATTTAGAAGTTAGGGGTTTACATATATAATAGTTACATCTTTTGGTTTTGATTCCAATGTTGTTTATAGAGTTTGGTTTTTTTTTCTTTCTTTGACAACTCCTGAAATACTTTAATTGCCCAGTGTAGCATATTCTTTGTGTATGGAAAATCTATATGCCTGTTGGGCTCAGGTGACTTCCTCAACTGTAGTCAGAAGTTGGCAGGCTTCTGTGCCCAGAGTGGTGAGATGGTAGCAGGGTTCCTGATGACAGGAAAACTTGTTTGGAAGTTTTACATGTAAAGCTTTGTTGTAACCAGCAGGACAGACGGAATGCGGCTCTTTTGGAAGTGCTTTTAGGAAAGAGATCCTCAGCTAAAGCATGTTCGGGTATGAGAGGAGATGGTGAGATTTCAAATAGTAACATTCAAAGGAAGTGCAATAATTCAAGAAAGGATGACCTTATAAATATGCATGCTGTTCAGACTGTTCTACTCATGTTAATGACCCTGCCTATTATTTTTAAGTGTTAACTGGGGTGTATTAGAATTTGAATATGGTACTAGAATTGTGACTCGCTAGCTTGTAGAGTTGGCAGTGTGCCAGAATGAAGAAGCAGCTGTAATATATTATTTTTGGAGTAGTTGAAGAGTGATTTCTTAAAATGATGAAAGATGTGATTACAGCTTTTTATTAAAGCAGCATTGCACTTATTTAACTATACTGTTTCCCAGGCAGGAAGTATATTTTTGTTAAATTTGTAAGATGTTCCTCAAGTCTAAGAAAGATCTCTAAAAAAATTGAAAGCAGCATCACAAAACTAATCTGAATGTAAACATACCTAGGATTTTCCTTTTTTTTGCTAAGGTTTTTAACATTTGAATGTTGTTTAACTTTTTAAAAATTTGCTTCCTAATTAATACTAATATTACTTTATTATTGTTAGGAAAATATAAGTAACACACCTACCCATTCATCAGTGTTCACTTGGACATTATAGTGGAACCAATGATAATCAATCATGTGCAATCATCACCAACATCCATTGCCATATATTTCTATAAACTGTATTAAGATGAGAAAACTTTATAAAATTTGGACTATATCACTTAATAGAAATATAACGTGATGCTCCTTTGTTGATATCAGAGTCTTAAAACTATCAGCTCTCTCAGCCTGTCTTCTGTGGCCTTTGGATAGAAGTGCCTTTCTTAGGGTGTTGCTTTAAAAGTCTGTGTTCAGTGACTGAGTGGACACAGATAGTACTCCTGCTGTGTTTGAGTGCCTTGTGTAGACTGTCTTCAGAGCTCTAATCTAAAGGGCTAGCAGGGAGCCTTGCCAAAGACGACCTTACAAGCTACTTCTAGTATCCACTGCTTGTGGTACTGGAACTGCTTATGAAATAAGTATATAGAATTGTTGAATGTGACGAGACCTGATACAGACCACCTAAGGCTAACCCAGAAAATGTCTAAAAACCCCTGGGGAAAATGGGAATCTGACTTTTAGACATGGCTTTGAGTCTAAAAAAATCTCACCCACTTAATTCAGTTATGTTTAAGTCGATCATTTTAAATTCAAATATCTACAGAACCACGAAGGCAGTATAAACATAAAGTGAGCTTTCTATGAGGCAATAGGAAATATTACTATTGTCTTTCTTTTTTATGCAAATACTGTGCGAGCAGAAGCAAAACAAAAAAGCTAACCCACCCATTGCAGTTGAGTTGATACTGACTCATAGTGACCCTACAGCATTAGTAGAGCAGCCTCAAAGGGCTTCCAAGCTTGTAAGTCTTTTCTATGGAAGCCTACTGCCACATCTTTTCCCCATGGAACAGTTGATTGACTTTAATTTTTACCATCTGATTAGTGGCCAAGAGCATTAACCATTGTGCCAAGAAGACTCCTTGCCTTGCCTGCATCCATTGGTTTTTAATCTTTAACTGAAATGGATAGTGAGTGAGATTGGTTTGAATTTACCATTGAGCTCATATATTAAAGAATTTCATAAGTCAGGCCAATTTGACGTGAATAAACCCCAGTAATTGTGTTTTCTCTTAGACAGGTAAACTAAGGGAGTTATGGTCAAAACAGTTCATCTCCTTTACAGCCTGTGTGACCTCGAGGGAGTCTCTTAGCATCTCTATGCCTCTATTTTTCATTTGGGAAGTGATAATACTAAATCTCCTGCCAACAAGTCAATCCTAACTCATTCCATAAGGCAGAGAAAAGCTCTCCCATAGGGCTTCCAAGGCTGTGATCTTTACAGGACCAGACTCCCATGCCTTTCTCCCATGGAGAGGCTGGTGGCTTGAAACAGCCATTATTATTTTTAGACTTTTGAAGCAGCTGAGTGTTTCACCACTGCACCTCCAGGGCTTATAAGCATAGTAGGTTGAGTTACCAAACACATGCATAGAGTTGAAATAGTGCCTAAACATATTTATTCCACAAATGTTGTTATTCTTAGCTAGTTTTATTTTCTTTTCTTCTGAATATTTTAAAATACCCAATCATTTTGTGTAAAAATAAAAATGAATAGTAAGAACAACTTCTTTAGAGAAAAGAATTGTTAAGTGCCGTCGAGTTGTAGGTGACTCATAGCAACCCTATGAAGGAGCATCCTCAACACTTGTGTGACTTTCATCCTTTCTCCAGGTTCATAGGGTTTCTGGAGGCAAGCTATTATGGAAGTGGATGCCATTCCTCCTTCCAAGCTTGTTTTAATTGGGAAGCCCCACTAAACACTGTCCACCATGGGTGACCATTAACACATTCGACATGCCAGTGTCACAGTGTTCAGCTTCACAGCAACCACAAGTTACCTCTGTATGGCAAGTGAACACACCAGGGCTATATGACCTAGAAGAATGTTTAAAGAAAACCCATAAAAAAAACAGGTCTGTAGTCTTTTTACTTATTTGGTACTGTCTTCCAAGAAGGGAGCTCTGGTGGCTTAGTGATAGGAGTTGTACTGACAACTTAAAGGCAGGTGGCTTAAATCCACTGGTTACTTCACAGGAGAAAGATGGATATTTCTCCTCCCATGTGATTTATAGCCTCTGGAAACCTGCCAGAGAGTCAGTGGTGAGTCAGTTCCAACTTGACAAAACATGAGCACAGCATCCTATAAGGAAATTCTAATGGTACAGACCACAGGATGTTACACTGCTAGCCCAAAGGTGGTGCTTCCAAATGGTGGTTTCGATCCACAAATAATTCTCTGAGTGAAAGATGGACGGTCTCCTTCTGTGCACTTTGTAACCACTGAAAACCTACTGGTCAGTTACGAATCTGCTCATACTTAACAGCAATGACTTCAGTTTTAATCTTCGAAAGTTCTGACTCCTGGTAGTCCTCTATAGAGATCTATAGATCTTTATAGGAGAGACTGCCCATCTTTCTCCTAAGAACAAATTGTGGACTTTCAGTTTGTAGTCCTACATGTGGTTCACTGTGCCAGCAGAGTGCCTTAGTCAGGGAATGGTGGTGGTGTAGTGTGTTGTGCTGCTAACCAAAGGCCATTTATCTCTGGTGGTTCTAATGACCACTCTGTGGGGAAAAGATGAGCAGTTTCCTCCTGTTAAGAGTTACAGCCTTGAGCGCCCACTGGAGGGTCACAATTATGAGTCAGCATCAACTCAATAGCAGCGGGTTAAGGGCTTTGGTTTATTTTTCACTTTATCCTTCAAAGGAAGTACCAAGGGAATGCTCAGCTGCTACCTGAAATGGAAATCTTAGCAGTTCAGCTTCATCCAGAAGCTCCTTGGAAGAAAGGTCTGGTGATCTACTTTTGTAAAATCAACCACTAAAGACCATGTGAAGCACATTTCTACCCTGACACATCTGGTGTCACTTGAGTCAAAATTGGCTCAACATCAAATATATATATTTCCAAAATATCTGCTACCTGAAGGTCTTTCCTTTGCTTGCCTGAGAAGAGTAGTGGCACGTACTGAACTTTGGAGCACATGTTCTCCAAACTGAACACTGAAGGCTCATTTTATGTTCAGCACCAGACTCTCAGTGCATTGAGTGCATCACCTTATAATTCTTCTTTGAGGTAAGTCTCGGGGTGTGATTGCTGCTTTGATGAGACCGAGGTGAACACCACACATTTTTCCCTTCACAGCCACTACAGTCCTTATCCCTGGCTGACTCAAAACTCAAGACTGAGGTCACCATCATCATCAATGCCCTGGGGAGCAACACCTCTCTCACGAAGGTGGACATCAGTGGAAACGCAATGGGGGACATGGGAGCAAAGATGCTGGCCAAGGCCCTGCAGATCAACACCAAACTCAGGTATGCAGAAGGGACCCTGTACCCTTCCTTCTTAGGAAAGCTTTGCAGATACTCATTCCAACAGTAAACATTGAAGAGCTGGGTGTTGCCAACTGAAGCTGAGTCTGGACTTCCCATGCAGCATATAAGAAGGAAATACGATTATAGATCTTTTTGGTTCCCTAATTTAGGTACTGTGCTCACTTCAGACCTTTGTTTTAATGTATTTCCACTGTGAAGCAAAACCTGACACTCTGCATGTTCCTGTTTGCTGCCTCCCTCACAGGAGCATGGATGGCTGACTTGCATGTAGGTAATGACAGTGGTTTTTTGGGCTGTTTAAGCAGCACTGAATGAGCAAAGCCAGCAAGTGTTGAGTAATGATGGTGGCAAGAGGTTGCACATGCTTGGTTGCGAGCCTGTTAAGAATGTAATTGTGACCCCCAAAAGTATGTGTGGGAATGGATTGTCTTTGTTATGTTGAGATAAGATTAGTGTAGGGGATGTCTTGAGTCAGTCTCTCTTTTTTTTTTTTTTTTTTTTTTTTGAGATAGAAAAGAGATTAAATAAGCAAGGGGAAGAAACAGAGATGGAGATAAATAGATATTCAGTCACATGAACACCACCAAGGTGGAAACTCCTTTAAAGGAAAGAGGAATCTACCTTGAGAGCTAATGTAGAGAGAAATCCTTCTCTAAGAGGTGGCGTCCTTTTATCCTTCTAAACTGTAGAGAAATAATTTTTTTTGTTTAAGCCACCCCAGGTTACAAGATAATTAAGTAACTAAGAAAGAGTCCAGGCTCTTATCTTTCATTTGCTATCCTAGTACCAGGAGGCTACAAGTAACCCTCTAATTCAAAAGCAATTTTTTTACAGTCCAGGAGTCTGGGGAATGAAAAGTTAATTCCCATTGCTCCCCAAGCTCTTTGCAGATAGCCCTTGCATAAGATGGAGTCTGAATTTTCGGTCAAAACTAGAGCCAGATGCCAAAAAGTACAGCGATTCCATTGAAGGTTAGCATGCATATCAAGATGATCATGGAGATTAAGAAGAGGAAAGGAGTATTGATGTTAAGACTTGGATCATGCAAGTAAAGGTTATTTCATGTCAGAGTTAATTGACAAGTCCTAAAAATACCTTTGAAGTATATCCATACTGGAGGAATCCTTTTCTTCAAAATAGAAATAAGCAGCCTTCATTTAATAGTAATGGACATTTTATCAGCCAAGTGAATGAAGGTTCCCAAGGTTGCTAATCACACAACATGAGGACAGTGATGAAAACATAGAGAAAAAGACAAGACTCTGCTGAGTTATTTAGAATGGAAAAGAGCTTAGTACTTGAAGTGCTTTCTTTTCTTCAGTATCTCTTAAAAACGGCTTCAGCTTCAGACTTGTGTGCTAGAATACTATTGGGAGAGTATCAGACAAATTTGACTTTAGAATTTTCTGGTTAGTAAATCATTATATAATAATGTAATGGCAAGTTAACGTGTCTCTAAGTGCAGCTTTTTCTATACTTCTCAAGTTAGTAAATGGAAGAATATAATATTAGCTGAAGTGCTCATCTTTACTTTGTCTGAGATAAACATTAACCCTTACTCATATAATGCCATTTTACAGAACAACCTAGACAGTGTCACCTTTAGGTGATGTATAGTACATGGAAGAATTGTCTTCTTCATTCCTAAGTGTCTGACTACTTATGTGATTTGATTTTCAAACAGAACTGTAATTTGGGATAAGAACAACATCACTGCTCAAGGCTTTCAAGATATAGCTGTGGCTATGGAAAAGTAAGTTTTAAGTAGGATTTCTTTCTGGAAACATACAGAAGTACCAGTGTTGTCTGTGTTATATGAGGAGTCAGTAGATTGGGAATGAGGAGGTGGGGTCTGAGGGTGATGTACTGCTCTCCAGTCATGGGACCTTGGAAAAGAATGAATTTCTTCTGTTGTGAAGTTCATTTGTAAAAAGGGGGCTAGAAATGCCTGTTTGCTAATGAGTCTGTGCCATACTGAAGATTAATAGGGATCAGTGGAAGAATCCAGTGTGGTGGCGGCCTCCCCTCTGGTCTCACAATCTGTTTTCATGGGCCTAGTTTTTCTGCTCATCATGGCACCTTCAAATCCCATTCATTGTAAGACTAAGGCTGAGATCCAGAATGTAAAATTGAAATTGAGTAATGGTAAGCTCAGGGCTATATTATATTGTCATAAACGACTTTCTGTTACCACAGTAACTAAAGTCAGCAATTATTATTTATTGTTCAATTTACTTTCTTCATGTTTTCAAAAAGCCATAAAAGAAAGGAGAAGCTATAATATAGTTAGTTTATGCGAGATAATAATAATAGGAATATGATTCTTAGTTTTCCAATTTACATATTGTATTATGTAAAAACAGAAATGGTCAATGCAAATGTCAAGCTTTAATAAGAAAGTATGAAATTAAAAAATATATTATAAATATGTAATATATATGTATGTGTTTTTATGTGTGTGTTTGTGTGTGCAAATATAAGTATGCATAGATAGATAAACATAATTTCAGAAATATATTTATTAAGATTATTCTAGTGATCACCTTTATTGGTAAATTTCTCTTTTAATGTCTCAAATACCTAGGAAGGACAAGGCAATATTCAGAGAAGACAAATGAAACACAACCAACTTCCCCCACTCCAGTGTAGATCAGAAAGCTCATGCCAGAATTCATTTAAAAAACAATGACTTATTAATCAGAATAATAGCACTAGTAAATCATTTAAGAGTCTGGTTAACATCAAAGCACAATCTTTGCAGTTACTAGAGTTTAGGTGGTTAGCTGAAAATTTTAATTTGAAGTAAAACAAATAATACTGTAGTGTTAAGTGCAGTGCCAATCCCTGCGTACTATTGTTTCCTGAAAAAGTAGTATGAAATGTATAGTTTGCTAAATCTCAGTAAGCATCAAATAAGGAGTATACCTCATTTACTTTTATGTTTTTTTAAAATTTTTATTAAATTTTATTAATTTTAATGAACATTTACAGAGATTTTGGATTTCCATTCATTCACTGTTGCACTACTTTCTCTAACACCCCACCCCCACCCCACTTACTTTTGTTTGTTTGAGCCTGCATAGAAGCCATTTTCCTGGGGCAGCAGAAGTGTTCATTATTTTGTGTATTCCTAGGTTTTCCTTATACTTAAGATCTCCCAGGAGGAGCTTCTGTGTCCAGCAGGGTGCTATGAACAGGACTCTCTAGTCCAGGCATTTTAGGACCTTCGTTTTTATTCCCAGCTATCTCACCAATAAGTCTATGATCTTTCTGAAACCATCTCACTTCTCTGATTCATTCTTCTTTCAAAGTGTGAATGAAAAGGTGTATTATCCTTAAGTGCCTTTTAGTTTCTAAACCATGTTAGAAGGTCCAGTCTCCCAGAGGACACTTAGTCCCCAAAACCACTTCTCCCAGGAATCGTCTCTGACTGGAGACATATGTGTTTTGCCTCAGAACCCCTGGATGGAAGGGAACACATACTTCTAAATGGCTGTATGCTGGTAATGATGGCATAGTTCCTAGCCTGAAAGTGGTGGTAAACCACCAGCCAAGACTCAGGAAGCTGAGAGTATGCATAGCCAATTCACAGAATTTCCAAACTGTTAATGTGGCTCTAAATAAAATTTTGTTTAAATAAATTATGCTAATCTGGACTAAAAAAACAAAAAAACACCAAACCAAACCAAACAAAAAACACCGAAACCAAAAAACCCTACTGAGATGCTAGTGGATTGAAATCACCATAGTGGTGCCACCTTTGGGTTAGTCACACAACCAGAGCACCCTGGCTGTTTTATAAAAGAAAACTCATAGCTACGGACTCTAGCAGGTCAGAGCCAAAGGCCAGAGTCTAGATTTACTTTTTCCTCACAGGAATAGCCTTGCATTTTTGTGTCTAATGAGCTAGTAAGGTGAAAAGTGGTAAGGTGGTTTATGAACACAAGGCCCTGAATGTTCCATTTGGTGTATAGAGCCTGGTGGTCTAGGTGTGCATCTTAAATGCAAACTGAAAGGATTCACAGAGGTCAGTGGTCTTTAGCTGATAGAATAGTCTTTCCTGGCAGTTTTTTCTACAGATAGTACACTTATTTATTTAACAAAACCAAGAGACTGAGCAGATTATTCTTTTTTGGATGTTAAAAGGACTTGTTTGAGAAGGAAAGATTTGGGCTTTGTTTTCTCTGTTACCAGTCTGAGTCTGCTTAGCACTTGTAATCACTGTGTGATTGAGGTATATTCAGATTTGTTGGATGTCAAGATACAAGGAGTGAGTTGATGCTGGGCTCTTTTTCTTGACTTGGTTCTGCTTTTTCTAGTCTTTTTAACTCCAGTGTAAAGATTCTGCCCTAAATGCAATCCACAATTTAAAACAGAGCAATAGTATTCTATTTCTCATTAATCCAAGCCCTTTTACAAAACCAGCACAATTCTCATGGCACTATACATGTGGATATTGAAGTACACTGACCCTGCAGTCTAGGAGCCCAAGCTGATCTAATGATTTAGAATTCTCTACTCTTAGAAAGCAACTTCTTTTTTTAATTGCTGAATTAAGACAGTTGTAAGAAGTTATTTTTAAATAAACATTTTATGTTCTCCTTTCATCTAGGAACTACACATTGAGATTTATGCCAATTCCTATGTATGATGCTTCTCAAGCCCTAAAAACAAACCCAGAAAAAACAGAAGAGGCTCTGCAGAAGGTATTAACGTATTAGTTGTAATCATTTTCAAATTTGAATTGAACTGTGCTAATAAGAATTCTGAATGTATGAACAATGCTTTGTCTTTTGCATATCTTTTTTCATATTCTTTTGTACTCTTATGATCATGACTGGTATAATGTATGCCTGAGGGTGGAATAAAATAAGAAAGACTAAAATATGCCAGATATAAGTAGAATAAAATGGCATTCTTAACAACATTATCATGCCAGAACTTAAGCATAAGTAATTTTCCAGTCATTTCTTGGAGCATGTGGGTAAAATTAATGTCCACTCGTATAACCTCTTTCAAATGGGTAAAATTTTGCATTCATTCTCACCAATAAATTTTGGTTTTCAGGCTTCCCCTCTACAACTTTTGTCCATAAACAAATATAAATACATACCCATTCTCACTTTCTCCTGGCAAACCCATAGATAATGGATCTCAACCACCCACGAGTTCATGCCTTTGAGCCCACTATTTGTGTCCTAGTGGGTGCTGAAAGCTTGCCTTGTGAGTTATTCTCTCAGTCTCCCTTGTCTTCATCTTTCTCTCTCTATGGTAGCTTTCTGTCTGTTCTTCACTCACGCTCAGTCATTGCCACCCAGTCAAAGCAGACTCACTGCTGACCTTCCAATGGGTTTTCTGCAGCTGTAAATCACACAAAAAGAGATTGGCCATCTTTTCCCCACAGAATTGAGTTAGCAGTGCAACTTCCTATGTATTGTATATACCACCAGAGCTCCCTTTTTCTATTCTTAGACGTGCTCCAAAATATCTCTTCCAAAGAATCTAGACTGCTGCTTACAAAGTTCACTGTTGTTATATGCCATTGACTTGGAACTGACTCATAGCTCTCCCTTCAGAAGGCTTATAGAAACTGTAAATTGCATAGGAGGAGATTGTCCATCTTTTTTCCATGGAGGAGCTGGTGGATTTGAACCACCTGCCTTTGAGTTGGCAATGCAACTCTTACCACTAAGCTGCCAGAACTTAGTATTCTCTGTTATAATCAACAGCCTTTGAAATCTTCCTACGTCCATTCCACTCTTCATCTGCTTTCTTAAGCTTCACTTTCCCAGCAGTCAATCAACCAACCAACATAAATTCTACAGCACAAATTTCCAAATTAGTTCTCTTTTTCATTCTTATGTTGCAAGAAGGGGCCAGTCCTTGGAGAAGAGCATCATACTTGGAAGGGTGGAGGGACAGAAAAAGAGAGGAAGACCATTAATGAGATGGATTGATTCAGTGACAGGGGTAATGAGGGTAGGTGTGTCAGATACAGTAAAGGTGGCACAGGATAAGAGCAGGTTTTAGGGCTTTTGTACATGGGGTTACTATGAGTCCTAAGTGACTTGATGGCACATAACAACAACAGCAATGTAGGTACGTTAGTTTAAACCCCATTATCTCTCAACCAGGATTATTGCCACATCCTCCCTAGCTAGCATCTACCCATTCTTTCTGCCTTCCATGCTGCTTGCAGAAGTAATAGCTTCTATGGTAATTCCAAACAGACTAAAACTTTCAGTCTATGCATCATCAGTGGTGGCTTTCAGGATAAAGCCTGAGTTCAACACAACATAAAACTCTTCCAGCTTCATCTCTTACCACCCCTTCCTCTTCATTTTGCTCTACCCAAAGTTGTCCATAGCAAGTAACGCTGCTACTAACCTACAGGCTATGCTTCTTCAGGGGCTCAAATCCACTAGTGGTTCTGAAGGAAAAAGACAGTCAGAGAGTCTCTTCCTGTAATGATTCACAGCCTCAGAAACCCAGTGGAGGGCTGCTATGATTCAGAATCAACTCAGTAGCAATGAGCGAGGGAACTTGTTAGAAGTGTAGACCCATAGGCATGAGCACTGCAGATAGAATACAGCTATTTGTGTTTTAACAAACTTTCCTAATGTAAAGCTTGAGAATGAATTCTGTGGTCTAGACCGTGTCTGTTGGTTTTAAATCAAGTACAAGAGAAGAAAGGCTTCACTGAGTCATCTTCCATACCAGTTGGTTCTTTCTCTCCCCCCCATTTTTATTAATTTTAATAAACATTTACAGAGATTTTGGATTTCCATTCATTCATTGCTGCACTTTTCTCCCTGCCCACCCCTCCCCACCCGTCCGCTCCTCTCTTTGAAAGCAAAAAGAAAAAGAAAAAAAAATTCCTTCATTGGTATACAATCCCCCCATCCCCCCCACCGCCCACACCGAGTACACTTCTCTATGCAGCCTTAATTCTGGACTCCTGTGATAACCATAATACTCAATCATATATCACCTCTAAAGTGTTCTTTCCCTCACCCGTTTCAATACAGTATACATAATTTATCCAGTTTTTTCTCAGTCTTACCCCAACCCTGATGTCAGTCCCATTCTACAACAGTGGTACCATGCAGTATTTGTCCCTTTGTGACTGAGATATTTCACTCAGCATAGTGTCCTCCAAGGTCACCCATTTTTTTAAATTTTATTTTATTATTATTTTTTGTGCATGTACCATCAAATCAGATCTGACTGGTACAGGAGGAAATTGTCCCTCCTTCTCTGGCACAGCATCTGGTGAATTTGAACCATGTACCTCTGGGATTGCAGTACAGCTTCTTGCCACTAGGCCACCAAGGGTCACCCATTTTGAATAATATTACATTGAGTTCCTTGTTTTTTCAATGCAGCATAGTATTCCATTGTGTGAATATACCACAGATTCTCTGTCCATTCGTTTGTTGATGGGCACCTAGGTTGCTTCCAGATCTTTGCTATTGTAAACAAACCTGCGATAAACATGGGTGTGCATATATCTGCTTGGATGGCAGTTATGGTCTCTGGGGTATATTCCCAGTAGTGGGATTGCCGGGTCAAATTGTATCTCTATTTGCAACTTTTTGAGAATGCACCACACCACTTTCCACAACGGTTGCACCATTTTACACTCCCACCAACAGTGAATAAGAGTTCCAGTTTCTCCACAACCTCGCCAGCATTTGTTGCTTGCTGTTGTTTTTAAACATAATGCTGTTAAATTTTGCTATTTTGACGGGGTGAGATGATATCTTATAGTTGTTTTAATTTGCATCTCTCTTAGAGCTAGGGATTTTGAACATTTCTTCATGTGCTTGTTGGCCATCTGAATGTCTTCTTTGGTGAAGTGCCTGTTCATATCCTGTGCCCATTTTTAAATTGGATTATTTATTTTTTTGTGGTGCTCAAGTATTTTATAAATTCCAGATATAACTCCCTTATCTGACATGTCATTCCCAAAGACTTTTTCCCAGTCTGTGACTTCTCTTTTTACCCTATTGGAGAACAATTGGTTGTTCTTAAGAGTTCCTCTCTCTGCACAGTGAGCTGCTTGAAGGAAGAGCCTATACCTTTTTTTTTTTTTTTTTGTAAACTCCCCTGAACCAACAGTTTGCCTGACATACATGCTTAGGTACTCCATATACATTTACTAAATTAAAAAAAAAAAACAAACCAAAAATTGTATGATTTGAGGTTCTGCTTTCATGTGGCAAGAGGCATTCAAGGTTTGAAGTCATAAATTCTTACTTCAAATCTTGAGCCTCCAACTCTGTAACCATTAATAAATGACTTGGTATGGATTTAGCTGTGTGTCTCAAAAATATATGATGAATACCTGGCTTTTGTACCTATGGATGGGATCCTGTTGGAAAAAGCTTTCTTTTGTTATGCTAATGGAGACTTCATTAGCATAGCTTGCTGCAGAGGGTCAAGAACTGCAGCCTTCAGTATGGATTGAGGCTCAATGTCAAGAAGACAAAGATTCTCACCACTGGACCAATTGGCAGCATCAGGATGGATGGATGGTGAAGAGATTGAGATTGTTAACAACTTTAGTCTGCTTGGCTCCACGGTCAGCACTCTTGGTACCAGCAGCCAGGAAATAAAAAAACATATTGCAATGGGAAAGTCTGCTCTTAGGGACCTCTCCCTAAAGTACTCCCAAAGTACTGAAGAGCAGTGGTGTCACTCTGGAGACTAAGGTGTGTTTGATACATGCTATGGTTTTTGCAATCAGTTGTTATGCATCAGAGAGTTGGACAATGACTAGGAAGGATAGAAGGAGAATTGATGCCTTTGAGCTGTGGTGCTGGAGAAGAGTATTGAATGTACCCTGGACTGCCAAGAAAACAAACAGATTCATCCTGGAGAGGGTTAAATCAGGCTGCTCCTTGGAGGCAAGGATTCTGGGGCTTTGTCTGACATTCTTTGGACATGATGTAAGGAGGGACAGGTCCTTGGAGAGGGACATCATGCTTGGGAGGGTGGAGGGGTGGTGCAAGAGGGGAAGACCCCCTATAAGGTGGATTGATTCAGTGACCAGAGTAATTGGGATGGGTGTGTCAGAGGCAGTGCGATTGGCACAGGATAGAGCAGTGTTTAGGGCTGTTCTACATAGGGTCGCTATGAGTCACAGGTGACTCAACGGCACATAACAGCAACAACAACAGTGGAGAATTGCCAGTGTAATTGTTGTTAGCTAGCTGCCATCCATTAGACTTTGACTCAAAGTGACCCTAAGAGCAGCAGATCAGAACCTAGCCTTATCTTACACCAGCCTCAGGATGTCCAACGTACTCAAGTCCATTGTTTAGTTACTGTCAGTTGTGAATTTGAATCACTAACCCTTTAGTCAGCAGCCTTACACACTGAACACTGTGCCACTAGGGCTCCTTTAAGGTGTCTTCAGAGGAAAGAATTAGGAATACCTTAAGACACTACTTGTGAAACAGTACATTGTTATTAGAAAGTTGTTATGTGCCATCGAGTTGGTAATGACCCACAGCAAGCCTATCAGTACCCGTCCCCGCCCTGTACCATCCTCCTCCTCTCTGTTACATGTGAGCCCATTGTTAGAGTCGCTGTGTCAGTCCTTCTCATTGGATTGACAGATGGTCTCTATTTCTCCAACCCTCCACCTTTCCCTGCTTGATGTCTTATTTTAAGGACTGGCCCCACCTGATGATATGCCCAAATTATGTGAGATCAAGTTTCACCATCCCTGCCTCCAAGGAAGTACTTTCTCCAAGACATATTTGTTTGTTCTTTCGCTAGTGCATGGGATGTTCAGTACTCTTCTCCAACACCACTACTTAAAGGTATCAGTTACTGTTTTATCATTCTTATTCATTGTACAACTTTCAGATGCATAGCAAGTAATTGAAAAGACCAAACACTCTTTAAATATTTTATTCTAAATCTACTTAAGAAGTAGACTTAGAATAATTATAAAACATATTCAGAGCTATTCATTCATAGCTGTTAATTAAGAGCTATCAAGTGAGAAGCAACTTATAGCCCTTCAGTGGGTTTTCAGAAGCTGTAAATTACACTGAAGGAGATAGCACAACTTTCTATCTTGGAGCAGCTGGTAGATTTGAACCACCTGCCTTTGCATTGCCAGCACACCACTTTACCAGAAATACAGCTATGACTGGAAGAGGTCTATATTTGTTCCCATCCCAAAGAAGGGCGACCCAACTGAGTGTGGAAACTACAGAACAATATCATTGATTTCACATGCAAGCAAGATTCTACTGAAGATTATCCAAAAACGACTGGAAGAGTAC